CTGATCCGTACACTCCTGCACTAAAAATGCATCCCAATGTATCCCTATGTGTTTTATGGGCTACAGTTCTCACATGCGCAGTCCGTTCAGGTTACGACAGAAAAATACTGCATGTCACATTTTGTACGGTCAGGAAACGTTCCGGAAACGCAAAACGCGTCAAAAACGCACTGCACTGCAGCTAACACACTGACAGCCCCACTCCAGCAAAAAAAAAATATATATGTATATATATTTTTTTTTTTACTGGAACGCATCAAAAACACGGCAAAAACACATAGCACCGCGTCTGCAGATCCGCACCTGATCCGGACCTGAAACTCATGTAAACAGGCCCTAAAAAGTGTCATCGCTGTATGAAGTTTAAAATAAAAGTCGGTAAACACAAGGGAACTGTGATCCATATAAATACTCATTACTAAATCAGAGACTGTTCTAAATAAAATATAATAACTTACAAATGCTGCCACTAATGATTGTCGAAGGTACACCTCAATATTATAAGACATCTGGGTGCAATGAAATAAGCTACTAGCTAGGTAATTTGCAAAATAAACAGCCTTTCCCAGAATGTGGAAATGAGATCTTATCGTCCCCGAATCCCAAAACAAACTCTGGTGATTTAATTTGCACAATCATATTTAAAAGCTGACCACTGGTCTGACACCAGAGGTCAAAAGGTGAAAAAGGGATTCTTGGGGGGTGTGAAGAGCTATCCATTCATGTTCTATTAGGACCAGTTTCAGCTAAATCAAGTGGATCCAGAAGAATGGGGAGCTGTGATAAATAATCTTGCTGAAATCTGCTAAATAGAAGTAGTTCTTTAAGACAGGGCGATAATACTTCTTTATCTAACAAAGCTGCATTTTGCAGTAAGTAGTGTTCAGGTTGCCCTTGGACTCAGCATTTGTATGCAGGCCCTAAGCTCTGTTGCGAGGTTGTGGACTAGTACTGGGGTGTAGATTTTTCAGCATCTAGTAATATATTGGGGTCAGATAAAAGCCACTCTTTTTGCAATTGCATT